ATTTATTTATTTATCATATAGGTTTTTTATTTTTTTATTTGTGGCAACCAAACCTCTCTGGGAGGTTTATTTCTGCCAATGTCGAGTGAAAAATATTGACATAGTTATCAATAGAACGTGGGTGTTTCAGTTCTATTGATTTTTCATGGATTCCGTGGAGTTAAGTATGCCCGTAAGCAGGTTTCGAGACGCCACCGGGTCCAAAGCGGGTTGTTCATACGACAACCCACTCGACACTCGATGCGCGCTCAAATTCGAAGTATTTCAATGTTTTTTATAATTTATCACTTCACTGCACTTTAGAACACAAAATAACACCAAATTTGTACACTAAAGTCCATTAAATAATAAATTGAAACCATTAAAACAGATCGACCATGCTTCCCGTTCAACTACCCTCCACGGAATCATCATATAGGTTACAAAACTGGGGTCACTAACGGTCACTGTCACCAATAAAATAAAAGACTGACAGAGGTGACAATTTCTTCCTCCACTTCTTTTCGGTACCAGCCAATATCTCGTCCCCAAGTAGTGTTAGGGCAAGCTATAGGACTTGTAAAAATGACCTGAAAAAAGCTTAGATACCTTTAATACCCAATGAGAATGAGTGCAGCCCCCCTAGACAAAACGCACTTTTTGATCGAATCGAAAATCGAATCCGTCAAAACTCCATACAAAAAAGGGGCTTTTTGACCACTTATCGACTGGTTTGCGACAGTAATTTGCACTTTGTCTAGACCCACAGGACAGTTGTTGTAAATTTATACTTACGTCATGTATTAATTAGAAGCACTTTGACAGTGACGAGTCGATTACGCATGCTCTATGTGGATTACCGATATGACATGTAGAGCTAGGTTATCAGGAAGCTGGCTTGTCAAAGACCTCACAGGACATTTATATGACAAGATCGAATTCCTGAGGTCTCTGTATTATTACAGACACGTAGTTAATTTTAAACACAACCCCTTCTTTGTATTTTGTGCGCTGGCTACATACTACACTACCACATAATTATGTATAGATAGATAGACGAATCGCAGAGTGGTTTTCGTAGAGTCAAAGTCAAAGCTAGTTTGTAGTCAATTTCTCACTCAGTCGATGTTGCTCACGCGGCTTTGAGTCATGCGGTGGTTGGTGGGAATAAATCGCTTAGTCCAGAGATATTGTGCATCTGAAAAGGATGACGGCTGGATTAATGATTGCACTGTTCCGAGTTCAAATCCCATAGAGGCAATTTTTGTCTCAAAATCCAATACTTATCTACGAGTAGGTATGATGTGCGGTATTTATTATGTAGGTACAGTGTGTCATCACAACATTCAATAACACCAGTATACCACATTTAACTGTATTCAATAACTATAATGGTCATCAGAAACTTTGTTAGCCAAGATATAAACAACAAAATTAGTCTACAGTTAGTTATTAGCAAGGAAATGGTCAAATAATTGTACTTATAGACAAAGTTGATAGCTTTTCACTGAAACTGAAATGTTAGCAATTGGCCACTATAAATGGGCGCTTGTGGGTCAAAACTATAAATTTGTAAGCACCTAATTGGTTTCACACAACCCATGAATGCGGTATTACCGTTGTAAATTACATTGACGTGTTGCTTCAATTTTGGCCACACAATTTATGCCCTGGCCTGGTGGTGTTTGAACGGTGAAATATAGCGGGCAAACGCCCTGCATATAAATATTTTATAAAATGGTACTGAAAATATCATCACCGGGCTTTCCCCAGTAAATTACCATAATAAAAATAAAGGTTTGGTGTACGAGTATTTGATTACTGGGTTTTCCACAAAGACCGGTCCTGCGCCGCTCGCATCCAGGCACCTCCCGCGACCTTCACCAGATCGTCGGTCCACCTAGTGGAAGGCCTGGTCTTTGTGGAAATCCTTGGGGGAGGCCTTTGTATAGCAGTGGACGTCTTACGGCTGAAACGAACGAACGATTACTGGGTATTGGCCGAACAGCGTTTTGGCAGCTCATAAAAATTACCTAGGTATCTCAAAGACTGGTGTGGTACTTATATTTATATTATTATTATATTAACTTTTAAAACCTTATTAAGAAGAATTTCCTTTCAGATTTTGAGAAAATTATGTAGCAGACTTTAAGACGCTTACAGTCACTTTAGTGTGTAAAATTCTTACAATAGATTTTCTCTGAGCTATCTTTAAACAGTTTTCCTTTGTTTCTGAATCAGCGGCACATAGCTCCACCTATCGACAGTTCAACGTAACATCTTCACAACTAATGTGTGTGGCGACACTTTACTACTCTGGCTGGAGAAACAATCTTCTGTGCACCTACCATGAGTTTACGTTAGGTGTGCTCGCTAGCGACTACGTAAAAAAATGACATTAATTGTATGACATATTGTGCAGCGCCCCTAGCGGCAACTTTCAAGAAACAAAATCTTCATAGAGATTTTTGACGTACTCGTTAGCGAGCACACCTAACGTAAACTCATGGTAGGTGCACTGAAAACGAATTTCCATTTGTGGACTGGATTTTTAAGACACAAAACATTAAATTATCATGGTCTTATGATGAATCGAGATTTGAGAGATTCAATCTCAGTTACAGATCCTGTAATTGAACTACATACCTACCAATCAAAAGTAGGTACTTATATCTATGCTTGACTGAATCGAGTGTAGGGACGTTTTTTAATACTTTCTTTAAAGATAAATTGCGTTGGTATTAATTACCTACTTCGTGGGTCCTGAAAAAATAATTCAATAGTGCTGAGCTATTAAATAAACGTACTTATCTTGAATCTGCCATACAAAATCAACAGAAAGCAATAGAAAAATTCCCCTTTTCTATAACTACCTACTTACTGAATAGCCTTTAAAGCGAGTAGGTAAGCAATCAAAAAACAAAAGGTATTCATACAAAACAAAACCTTGTAAACTAATCGTGTTTTACACCAAGATTATTAATCAAATGGTTTATAGAGCTGCCCTGTGCCCTTGGAGTCACAATCAATATCAACCCTTACAATAACATGTCTGCTTCCTTTCGAACACACTAATAAAACTGTTTTGATGCTTCGTGATTGAGTTTGCTGGTAATACTCGTATATGTATAGGATCTACACGATGCCGCAAAAACAAACAGCTAGTACAGCGACAACACGTTGAAAATCGCACTTATTTGGAACTACAAAGATGCCACAGTATTAACATTGACATCAGATTGACTGATGCTCTGTACTTTGGCGATTGATGACTAGCTAGACTAGATAAGCCTAGGCGCAGACCACCGACTTTTAGTTGGCCGATAGTTAGGCCCGATTCTAATTTGTATGAAGAATCGGCCGATACCAAATCGGTGTAATGTGCGCACTTCCATACATGACCATACTGATTAACTGCCCGACTAAACAATCGGCCGACGAAAAATCGGTGGTCTGCGCCTAGGCTAAAGGCATGGAGAAACTTTTTTATCTGTGCTTTTTGTTAATGACCATACCAGGAGAAGCTCGCTTCCACCTTCGATATTCATCTTGTGAGATGTAGGCAAAGAGCTTCCCTGTTGTTACTAATGTAAACTAACAATTAAAACTTCGACTGAAAATCTTAAAGACGCTAAAATCTGATGCCCATGATAGTAGTCTGCCTTTCTCCTACCTACGTCTAAAAGACTTTCTGGGTCTTATTAAAAAAGTTAAACGCACTTTGAACACTGGTTTAAAATGATATTTCCATACATGTCAATTAAAACAACTGTTCAATGCGCGTTAAACTTATTTAATAAGGCGCTCTATGTCTTAAAATCTGTGCCTTCATAGGAATCTGTCCTTATGTATCGTACTAGAAGACTCCTTATCAAAACCCTCCACTGCCTCTTAATTAGTGCAGGCGGTAGAGTTTACGCCATAATTCTGTACGGTCAACGCGGGTCAATGAGTTTACAAAATGGGAATAGTCTTCAGTTTACAATATTTGTAATGAAAATGTTGGCAAAAATAAGAGACGATATAATAGAATATACGCTTTAATGTATTATAATAATGTAACAACGCCACTCTTGTTTTGGGCTGACTGTGTTGTCGACAAGAAGAAGAATGTATTGTCTTCGTCACTACATTACCTACATTTAATTAGGTACCTAAATACAGTTTCTATGTTTAAAATAATAAATATAAACTATTCTTAAGTACTAGCTGCGGTTATAACTAGCAAAAAATTTTTAGTTTAAAAATAAATATCGTGACAACTCAAACGACAATTTGAATACGTGAATTTATAACTGAAAATCAATTCATGGTTTCAATAGGTTTCAATTTAACAGTTGGAATTCACAAAACTAAAATATTCGTGACCTACAACATTTATTTTCACTGTTCACGACGAACTCGTGAAATGCGACTGTAAACCAAATTAACATTTCAAATGAAATGTGAGGGTTTGTAAACTGAGTTTCCGGCGTTATCTTAAGTCAAGGGCAGGGCTGAAATATTGTTAATTACTTATTTGAATGACCTTATAAATAAATTCCTTAGAAGTACTTCGTAAATTTATAACTAGCTTTGGTTCGTCACAGAAAGTATTTCGCCGACACTCAGTTTTAAAAAGGTCAACTTTTTACATGTTTAATATAAAATAGTCATTAAAATGTTTCCACGCAGCGGCTTGTTACCTATTTTTCCACGAAAACCCATTACACTTTTATGCCCACAAATTGTTCATGTATTTCACTATGATTTTTAACAAGATAGGTTTTTCATTTGCATAAAATAACAAGAACACTTATTTAAAGAATCGCTTTTTACCAGTTAACTAAAGCGAGAATCGCCCAACTGTGGTGTCATTCTGTTTCAATAGTCGGTACTTTGATCCGTGACGTCCGCTGCACTATGTGGTGAACCCATTAATACCAGTTATTTAGTATAACTGAAAGGATTGACGGGAATGTTAATTATTAACTTAAATGTTTCGTTGAACTATTTGTTGATTTACTTTTTCTTCTTTCCAGCCAGTGGGAATCTACCGCGGCAAGTACGAGTGGGCCAACGAGAACAGTCCAGTCGGCGGCGACTGCTCGCTGTGGGTCCGAGCAGCCACGCTGCAGCTCGACGACGGCCAGTGGCAGTGCCAGGTCACAGCTAGCAACTATGACGTCCAGGTGAGAGGATTAAAGAAGTTAAAAATAGTCCTTTCAGCGTTAAGTGCTCCTTACAACGCCCACGCTGCAACTGAAGAGTAGCAAGCAGTAAGTGAGAGCAGTGCTTTCAGCAGCGACTGCTAAGTCAGGTTCCGAGTGGCCACGCTACAGTTCGATGACGGCCAGTGGCAGTGCCAGGTCACAGCTAACAACTATGATGTTCAGGTGAGAGCATCTTTCGCATTCATCAGCATTCGCGCTGTAACTAGACGATGCCGGGTTACAACAAGCAACAAACAAGATCAGCTTTCCGAGTTGAGTGGTTACCGTGGAGTTATGTCAATGTCGAGTTATGTCAGTTATGCCTACAAACAAATGCATCTACACCGTAGAAAAAAGTTAACAACACATAAGCTAATAGTATATATATGTAAAAATGATATATTTTATTTTTTTCCAGGATGCCCTATCTAGTCCACCGGCAGCGCTAGCAGTGCGAGTGCCCCCCCAATCTCCCAGGATACTCTTTAACGGGTCCCACGTGATGCCAGGACAGAACATCACCGTGCCCGCTGGGTCCCGGGCCACCGTCGTCTGCGAAGCCAGATACGGCAACCCGCCTGCTTATATTGAATGGTATTTGGGTAAGTTACAAAGTCTTATAAGTTTCTATGCTATGATCCGCCTTAGTTTCTCTGCTTGACCTGTGGTTGATAGAGAATGCCAGCCGGTATTAAGTACGCCACTGTACATCAGTTTTACGTGCGCCGACGATGGCGATCTGCACGCGTTGGTGTGGTTGAAGTTTAAATAAGATTCTCTCCGATCTCAGGTCCCCATGTAATAATTCGTTTTTCTGAATAATCTCATTACATTCGCTTTTAAAGCATATCACATAAGCAGTTCTCGTATCTTGGTGAAGACGCGAGTCTTTCGAGTGTAGATTTATGCATTATATTATTAATGCTGAAACACGAAACTTAACGCGTCTGTACGCTAGTCTTTCAAAATCTGACAAAATTACCTAAGTTTTGATCTGAACAAGGTCTAACGAATTTAATATTAAGTGCAGAATAATCATATTTTCTTGTTATTTTCTGCTAGCTTTTATATTCTCTATTACCTAATACCTCAAGGTGGGACAAGAGATAAATATATCTTGTTATTCTTGCCCTATTCTCCCAAGAAACTTCTATGTATAAATCTTAATTTGCTATAAATAAAATGGTCTTATAACATTTCAGAAAAAGAACGCCTCACAGCCTGGAGCCAGACCAATGCTTCTGAAGTGGAGCGACCACGAGTGTGGGCCTCCCGATCAGTACTAGAGCTGGGGGCCACGAGGTCAGCCCACGGCAGGCAGCTGGCGTGCAGAGCTCATCACCCTTCCTACCCATCTCCGTACTATAAAGACTCGTTTACTATGCTGGATGTTACATGTAAGTAGATATTTCAACAAATGCATCTTTAATACATACTAGCGGCCGCCCGCGACTTCGTACGCGTGAATCCCGTTTTTCCCGCTAATTCCCGTTTTCGTGGGAATTTCGGGAATTCCTTTCATAATCATAATAATCATAATCATTTATTTGCAATTAAACATGGTATATAAAGATGTTAGGTACAGACAGTGAGAACTATACATGTTTAGCTAAAATTTCTTAGTGCACCTCTACGGTACCTAAGCTACGTCCCTTCCAAATTTCAAGTGCCTACGTTTAGCCGTTTAGGCTGTGCGTTGATCTGTCAGTCAGTCAGTCAGTTTCTCCTTTTATATATTTAGATTACTTCAACTTTAAGTCTTAGGTCCAGAACAGACGGTGAAACGCAACTGCAACGAAACTGCAACTGCTAATTACTTTTGAGTTGCATCTAAGTTTCTGTCATAGCGTCCGCTGAGAGACCACACATGACGCGACCAGTTTGAAACTTTCAGTTTCAGTTTCATTCATCAGAATCATCAGAAAGTTGCAGTTTCGTTGCAGTTGCGTTTCACCTTCTGTTCTGGGCCTTAGGGCTGCCACTGTTAACAGTTTCCTAAACGGCTGACAGTTGCCTGAAATCTTCATCATTTTACCTCCGTATCTAATAATGTTCTATGCCTACATAAGTATGTACGTTCGTACCTACTCCAAACTGTAACTGTACGCATGTACGTATGCATCTAAATCGACTGAGTTTGTTTGTGTGACTCCAAAACTACGGAATGGGTTTAGCTACAGTCAGTTAGTTTCATTTTCTTCTTGTTACTACTATCTGCTGCCATAGAACTCTTATACCTCTATAACTGAGACGGCTACATGAATAATATTTGATGAAATATTTGTCACTCTTTCAGTCGTCCCAGTAGTATCCATAGTGGGCGCCGACGCCAGTTCCTTGGGCAACCTGGAGGAAGGCTCCAGTGCTCTCTCCCTAGAATGCCGTGCTGAAGGCAACCCGGCGCCCTACGTGTGGTGGACTCGAAACGGACAGGTCATCGCCACCAACGGACCCAAGCTGATACTGGCACCTGTGTCGAGGAATCATTCAGGTACAAACTAAAAAATATACATCAAGCTACCTAAGTATGTATTACTTCTACACCTTTATGTGAGTTGTAGACCTAATGGAAACTGATGATCAAGCCGAAGGAATATAACATATCTCTTGGTCTGCCTCATTACGTTGTAAATATCTAGGTGTTTGCAAATACATATAATGTTTTACCATTTTTTTTTATTATAAGGTGAATTAGTGCAATAACATCTTGCCTGTTTTACAGGAATCTATGGCTGTCAAGCAAGAAATTCTCTGGGGACATCAGACTCAGTAAAAATTGAGATTGATATCAAATGTGAGTAACTTAACTGTTTCTCTTGCTTTCCAAATAAGTGTTTTATAAACTCAAATACAATAATGCTATTCAAACATTTTTAAACTCGTAGTGTAAATACTCGTAGAGACATTAGTTATACCTTGTTAGCCCGGCTTATTAGATTGTAGATTGATTATCTACAACTGTTCATTTTGTTTTCTTCAATAGATCCTCCAAGAGTGACGTGGGTGGGTCCCGATACGGTGGTTGAAGCAAACCTATTTTCTCAAGTCACGCTGGAGTGCAAAGCCGACGGGAACCCCACACCTTCCTACCAGTGGTATCACAAGTGAGTACAATACTCATTATACTCGATAAGTCGCTTAATTAAATGCCAAAAGAACTCACAAAACTACATTCAAAACTCGATTCAAATCCAGGGAACAGATTCAACTTTCAGCACCGGTGATTCTTCTAAAAAAATTGTGGGAGTCGCATCGTGTCAGCAGCCGTACTGCGAGATAGGCCGCTTTTTTTTTTTTTTTTTGAAGGGACGCGCGCTGGTAGCTTGAGGAGCTTTTCCAGCTTCACCGGGCAGAGTGGCGAGTACAGAAGGTACTCTAGCCGTTTGGCGATCGTCGGTGCGCGTGCCGACGAGGCCGAGTGTGGGCTGAAGCCCAGGCTCGTCCGCGTCGGTCGCAGACCGACGTTCGCGATCGGGCCGTATCGAGCGCATAAGGCGCCCGATCAGTGGCGAACCCAACTAGAGGGTTGCCCACCGCGGTGTTGGACCAAAGTCCAGCCTACGGCGGGCTCACTCTAGTGGGCCCGATCGAGGGGACTACGGACGCGGCCTGAGGGCGCCACGGTAGGCTCGGACCTCGGCTCAGGCCGTGTCCGGGGGACGGATAGGGGAGAACCGGCCCGGTACATGTCTGTACCGTCCGAAATGGAAAGCAGGGCCTCGTACTCGCCGGCGAGTACGGTGTAACGAGCTACTGTGTTGTGGAGTAGTTGGCGTGCTTAAGGCAGTGATGTCTGTGTTCAGAAATTGAGATAGGCCGCGAAGAGGCCGCTTATATTTATAACCTCCGGCCGAGAGGTCCGAGAGGCTGTCTCGCTCGCACACCCACCGCGGGAGCTCCGTGGATGTAACCTACGCGCGAGAGGACAGATATCGCTATCCCGCTTCCTCTATGGTGCGCGCGCAGAAAGCACTGAAAGTTTTAATGTTTTCATGTCGTGTGCGACAACCAATGTTTCTGTCTCCTTTCTGTGTACTATAAATGTAGCGCATTTTGTAAATAAATCATCACTTCAAATCTGGACTCTGAGTTTCACTCATCTACCTGCACCTACCTTCCCCTCGACACACAGTTAGGCTCCATATCTGGTGACCACCGACTGAAGACCTGAAGACCCTGTTTATTGGAGCTACTTATCAATGGCTGAAGAACAATCGAAGACGAGTCGAGAAGAGATGCCGTTCGGCGATATTGGCGCCATTTCCGTGCAGTCGCGCCTTCTACCATTTTGGCGGGAACTCCCACGCGCTTGGTTCGTGCAATTCGAAGCCGTCGTCGACCCGCTGAAGACTTCAGATGACCAGAAATTCCGGTACCTGCTGCAACAGCTGCAAGCCGTCGACCTGCAACATCTCACTGACATCCTGTACAACCCACCTGCTACGGACAAGTATCTCGCCGTCAAAAATCGCCTGCTCGCTGCCTACGACAAATCAGACGTCAAGAACTTCCAGAAGCTCATCAGTGGTCTCGAACTCGGAGATCAGAAGCCCTCGCAGCTCTTACGTAAGATGAGAGAACTCGGCTGCGGTATGATAACCGATGAAGGATTGAAGATCGAGTGGTTAAATCACTTGCCTACACAAATACGCGTCGTGCTGTCTGTCAACACCGAATCCTCACTCGAAACACTCGCTGCGATGGCGGACAAGATGGCAGAGTACGCCGATGGACCCAGCATCGCCGCAGTAACATCTTCAACATCAACATCAACAGCGGCGTCAGCACAAATAGAAGTTGTATCGAAGCAAATCGAGAAACTTTCACTGGAGATCGCAGAGATTCGACGCGGCAACAACAACACGAACGGAAGATATCGCCGTCCCTTTCGCTCACGCTCTCGCTCTCAGTCACACCAACGCAAGTCAGCGAAACCTGGAGATGAAAATTGGGAATGCAGATATCACTATCGCTTTGGTGACAAGGCGAAGCGTTGCGANACGAAAGACGAAACCTGTGGACGAAACTCAACAAATCGCCCTAACCTCAAATTGACAATGACACTTGATAGTTTTTTATTTCGGTGTTCCGAAACGCTCTAATGTAATTAATGGTGAGATAAAATAAAACAGTTTTTTTTAAATCGTTTGAAGTAGGTAGTTTTATTATTATGAAAATCATGATTATTAATAATAATATTGATAATAAAATCATGTTTGCTTGCTAAAACTTACTTGGCAAACAAGATTTTTATTCTTATTGCTTACTCACGAAAATAGGTGACAGCTGAAATCGGAACAAAAAAGTTTTCGGAAATGATTTTTTGTACGGAAGTAATTGTTAATCATGTTTCGTATAATTAATTCTAATTTTCTAAATCCGGATAAGAAAAACGGTTAAAAATTAATGAAGTACACATATAATTTAAATATTATTTTTGATGATAATTAGCCTGTGATGCAATTTGGTACAGGTAATGGGCATTGTCCTTTCTTTATTTCCCACCGAAGCGAAGGTAGAATAGCAGCTGCCATATTCCGTTCCGTCCATTTATAAATGGCACCTAACAACTGTACTAATACTTTAGGGCTTACTAGCGGCCGCCCGCAACTTCATAATAATCATAATCATAATATATTTATTGCTTCGTACGCGTGGATCCCGTTTTACCCCCTTAGGGGTGGAGTTTCGTAAAATCCTTTCTTAGCGGATGCCTACGTCATAACATCTACCTGCATGCCAAATTTCAGCCCGATCCGTCCACTGGTTTGGGCTGTGCGTTGATAGATCACTATGTGAGTCAGTCAGTCACCTTTGAGTTATGTATATTTAGATAACAGCAACTCATTTATTTTGATTATATTTCAGCCCAACCCCATCAGTGCACATCAACTCGGCGCCCGAAGACGGCTACCCCGCCGCGACCACCGCCCAGCTGCAGCTCCACAACGTGTCCTACAACCAGCACGGCCGGTACACGTGTGTAGCCGTCAACCACATTGGAGTCGAGGAGAGGTAGGTTCCTTTCCTAGCAACTAAATATAAAGTGCCCTGGCAGAGTAGAATAGGACCACTCCCATTCATTCAACACGGCAACTCGGCTCCCGAGGACGGCTACCCCGCGGCCACCACCGCCCAGCTGCAGCTCCATAATGTTTCCTACAACCAGCACGGCCGGTACACATGTGTAGCCGTCAACCACATTGGAGTCGAGGAGAGGTAGGTTCATGGTCTCTGGTAACTAAGAGCCAAAGCACACGATGCATTGCGCGCCGTACCGCAAAGATTTTGCCATATCGCGCGGCGCGCTGCACCGCTCGTGTGACCGCCACAAATATTTCTATGTAAGACGCAGCGACACCTCTTCGACGTTGAACCGCCGCCGCAACGCATCGTGTGCTTGGCTCCTAGCCGTTTGGTTCTGACAGAGTCGAATAGAGCAGTGTAAAGGACGGCTATCCCGCCGGGACCACCGCGCAGCTGCAGCTCCACAACGTGTCCTACAACCGGCACGGGAGGTACACCTGCGTGGCCGTCAACCACATTGGAGTCGAGGAGAGGTAGGTTCCTTTCCTAGCAACTAAATATAAAGTGCCCTGGCAGAGTAGAATAGGACCACTCCCATTCATTCAACACGGCAACTCGGCTCCCGAGGACGGCTATCCCGCCGCGACCACCGCGCAGCTACAGCTCCACAACGTGTCCTACAACCAGCACGGCCGGTACACCTGCGTGGCCGTCAACCACATTGGAGTCGAGGAGAGGTAGGCTCCTTCCTAGCAACTAAGTATAAAGTGCCCTGGCAGAGTAGAATAGGACCACTCCCATTCATTCAACACGGCAACTCGGCTCCCGAGGACGGCTACCCCGCGGCGACCACCGCCGCAGCTCCACAACGTGTCCTACAACCAGCACGGCCGGTACACCTGCGTGGCCGTCAACCACATTGGAGTCGAGGAGAGGTAGGTTCCTGGTCCCTGGTAACTAAGAGCCAAAGCACACGATGCATTGCGCGCCGTACCGCAAAGATTTTGCCATATCGCGCGGCGCGCTGCACCGCTCGTGTGGCCGCCACAGATATTTCTATGTAAGACGCAGCGACACCTCTTCGACGTTGAACCGCCGCCACAACGCATCGTGTGCTTTGGCTCTTAGCCGTTTGGTTCTGACAGAGTAGAAGGACAGCGTCAAAGGACGGCTACCCTGCCGTGACCACCGCGCAGCTGCAGCTCCACAACGTGTCCTACAACCAGCACGGGAGATACACCTGCGTGGCCGTCAACCACATTGGAGTCGAGGAGAGGTATGTTACTATTACTATAGTCTGGTCGCCGAGCACGTAGAATTTCGTCCAATGACCCCAAGCTACCCATCCTTATCATACATCCGACGGGCACCCGCAGTGAGTGTGCGAGACCGGGCTTTAGTTCCTAGCAACTAATTATTAAGCCATGTGGAGGATCACTCCCTCGAGGCTGTCGTTAAAGGCGACTTGGGGACAATATGCGTACAACAGGCTTTCCCAACCCGTCTGGAATAGGGAGCACCTTACGGCCTATTAGACTCTAAACTAAGGAGTCATCGAAGCTGCAGCTCCACAACGTGTTCTACAACCAGCACGGCCGGTACACCTGCGTGGCCGTCAACCACATTGGAGTCGAGGAGAGGTAGGTTACTAGTTCCTAACAGTACTCCGATAGCTCATAGCATCCGAAAAGATTCCGCTACATATCCTCAGACATCCTTCTCAGACATCTTAGTAGCACCTCTCTGGTAGAGCCGTGCTCCGTGCAGAGTAGAATAGGACAACTTCCATTCATCCCGCGGATGTCGTAAGATAACTAGGGGAATTAAGAAGTACATACCAGACAGTGGCGGCTATATTATTATCGCAGCTGCAGCTCTACAACATGTCCTACAACCAGCACGTGCGGTACACTTGTGAGGTGGTCAATCACATCGGAGTCAAGGAGACGTAGGTTCATAGTTCCTGGCAAATACTTCGTTAGATAGACAGATAACTCAAAGCATCCCGCTATACATCCTTGCACCGCTCATCTTCGTAGCACCTCTCTAGTGTAGATGCAGCCTCAAGCCGAGCTCCGTACAGAGTAGAACAAGACGTCCCATTCTTCCATGGCGTATCCAGGCTTTAACAAACCTCTAGCAGTCTACTGTCGGCAGCCGTACATCGAAAAGATTGGACACGGCCATGTATGAGATCAAGCAATATACTGGAGCATCTTTTTCAGTTTCAATACATAGTTATTATGTACAGTCGACAGCACATCAGACTATACATTTTCGTTGCAAAGTCGCCCCTATCACAACTACGTAAGATACCACAGTGTTTACGTTGTCGTACAAACAATTTCTTATGTGCTGACAAATCCCGTATCTTGTTCCAGGACCCACCAATCAGAGCCGATCACTTTGAACGTGCTAGGGCCACCAGTGGGCGCGGAGACCGGCACGGCGCACGCGTGGAGCGGCGCCGAGGGCCGCGTGCACGCCACCGTGTGTGCCGACCCTGCGCCGCGCCGAGCCGCTTGGTTGTGGGGTAGCCTACGTCTTGATGTACCTTCGCAAATTGGTAAGAATATACTTACACTTTGATTTTAAGTTTAGATTCTTTAACTGGAATCTCCCCCACCCCATATGAAACAATGATCATGAACTTAGACGATGGCTCTCCTACTGGAATTTACGAATAGGTACACTTATATTTAGACCATGACTGTCTTACCAGGCCTGTTCATCTCCGCGAGTTTACATCGAAAACAAAACACGCACGATGGCCCACCTACAGGATACTATTCGACAAGGCCTCACATACGAGCGAACATTGACTCACGCACGCGTATTCTTGTGTATGATGGAAGAAAATAAAGAAAATGGTGTACTAAATACTGTGCAGTATTTAACTGCCTAAATAATAATAAAAACACAGAATGTACTTTTTTAAGTTGCCTCAAGACACTGAGAGGAAAATAAGTAGTTAATATTATTCATGATAATTCATGCTAAATCATGTATGTATTTCCTCCGCCATTTTCCTCAGTTTGGCACCTCACGTCACATCATTTTACCGAAGTCAGCCCTATAGCTTCGGCGCAGTGCCGATCACTGACGTTTGTCAACAAAATGGTGCTTGACTCTTGAGACAGGCTAAATTACACCATATTGTTAATGACATTGAGCATACATTTTTTTAAATACCTTCGCGAAGTAAAACTTCTGTACGTAGTACTTATTATTATTCTGTGGTCTTACTAGAATGCCCCTCATTTACATCAGGAGATTATCCTTGTTAAAACCTGCTGAAATGTGTCTGCTCTGACTACTAAGCTATGGAATTGGTTCAAGATTTTCAGATCAGATCACGTTGTCAAATATAGATAGATGCAGCTGTTCATTCAAATAAGTTGAGTCACTTTAGCCAGCTGCCGCCTTAGTGAAAAGAGCGCTTCTTTTTTTGAGGCTCGTTAGACAGACAGCGAGTTATCCAAAACGGTTTAAGTAGAATCTGGTGGCTTTTATCGCTGCAAAACTAAAAACAATTAATTATTCTTACTGCTTTATCAAATTATCCAGACGTCTACCTACATCCATAGGATCCCTTTCAAGCTCTCAAATCCCTATTCCTTAAACTCCTGATAACTTCTTTCCAGGTCGCTACCGAGCCCTAGAGCCGTCAGGCGCGAACGGTTGCTACCGCTACACGCTTCTCATCTCCAGCACAGCCGTCTCCGACGCAAGGGTCTACGTGCTGCACGTGGAGAATGAGCGAGGCTTCTCGTCGCATGCCGTCTCCTTGACTGTTCATGGTAAGTCCTTGGGAGACACTCGTCTGGAATACCAGTAAAATATTAGCGGAGATAGTCGTCGTAGGCCTCCTCCAATCGAATATGCATCATTCTAAAGCCTGGTCCGTGAGCACGTAGAATTTTGTCCAATGACCCCAAGCTACCCATCTTTATCGCTCGCGTATAATTATGTTGCTGTCGCGCTCGCACACTCACTGCGGGCGCCCGTCGCACAGTCGCGACAGCAATATAATTACGCGCGAGCGATAAGGATGGGTAGCTTTAGGTCATTGGACAAAATTCAACGTGCTCACCGACCAGGCTTTACCAATCTTTTTTTGAAGCCACATGATAGATAAACGGTGAAGGGGTCGGACTGGCCGACTCGTGATCCGGGGAACGCGGGTTCGACTCCCGCCGCCGCTCGACTATTGTGGTGAGCTCACTCGTGACAAAACATTTATTTAGCTTAGTACGAGGGGCTAACGTGACTATTAATAAAATTATTGTGCAATACAAATCTGCAGCTGCAATCTTATCTGCAGCTTGATGCATTTAGCTCCTGCCAGCATTTCGCAAGTCCTGTAAATGGTAGAACAACGGGTTTAGAAATACATTTTTAAAAGGTTCTTAATGTAGATATTTGGTGGTAAGCTATGTTTTAACTGTACAATCATAAGTAATCGTCTCAACTGAAACCATTCGAATTAAAACTCTTAAATAGAGATTCAGCAGCAACGCACCGGCAGTATTTGTCAGTTTAAAAAAAATACTGATGCCCGTTTTCACCATCAATCCCTAATTTTTAAGTGACCCCTATGAAAACAAAATGCTTG